TATTAATCATAGCCCTTACATGATAGTACAACTTACCACAAACAGGAAGACCAATCCATACATAATGATCGTTACCTAATACCTATCAGCATGCATTCCCCTACTCAACGCTAGTCAACCACGAACGGTTCTGAAACTCTGAATCCCAAACACCCATCTTCTTACTGTGATGGTAGGCTGTTAGCCATTAAACTACCAACCACTTGGGAGCCATCGCCCAACCTTTTGTGCGCTCCCTGCAGCCCGGCCTGCTGTATAATCTTCTTCAACTTTAGGTTAATCAATCTTAACGGGGACTGTCGGTGCACGTGAGCACAAGTGGAATTCATCTATCCGCTCGAGGAAACCTTTTGGTGGCTCTAGGTCTAGCTAGGGCCACCGGCACCAGGAGATCGCCAGGACATCCGGACGAGACTAGCTGGCGCCGCAGCCGATGATTAATCGAGTTCGTGCGTGCTAATCTTATCTATCACTCATCTTGTTGCTGTTGTACCTGTACCCAGGACAGTGATAGCAGCAACGCCAGGGCCCCGGGCGCAGCTGGCAGTAACAAAAGCTGCTTCTGCTCTGCCTAATCCTCGTTAAAATAAACGCATCCGTATTGCCAGTGGCTTGGTGGAGTGCAGCGCAGCTGCGCCAGTAGTACGTGACACGGCGACATGGTGGCGTGTTGCCGTCCGTGTGCGTGCCAGATCAGCTATGCCCAGCATTGGAAATTGGGCGGAGCTGTCCTGCATCAGTGAATGGTACCTAGTATGCCTTTGTACTCGTGCTTCTGCTTGCCATTCATTCTTCTGACGCGGTTTTCTTTTTTCCGATGCACAGAACAGACCCTCTTTAGAGCAAGTATAACAATGCTTACTGAGCCGGCTAAATAGAGCCAGTCAGAAAAATTGAGTGATTTGGCAGAGAGAGAGAGAAGAAGAAAACAAACAGCCGGCGCTTGACTCCCAGCCCGGCTGAATCCACCATGCAGCTTGCTCCTAGCCAGCTGCAGGCTGTAGGATCGGCGCTTGACTCCCCACCATCCTCGTTCCAGCTGCTGTGATACGTCCACGCATACATAAGCATTAAATACTTACAGTCACTGTTGCATCCAATCTATAATATGAGTTGGCTAAATAATTAACTGTATATGATGTGGCAACATGTTGCGGCCTTCAGCTGACTAAATTATTAGCCTTGCTCTTAGGTGCCACACTATCCTCGGACATATCGTCTCCTTGAAAGTATAACACTGTTGAATTCTAAAGTAAAAAAAAACTCCTGCGTTAATTTGAGAATTCACTAAAAACACCTAACTAGCTGAGCTTGATTTGCTACTTTAGTAGTCGTCTCTAGTGCCTAGTGGGCTTTGAATGGCTTTTGTGAAAATAATGTGATTCTAGTTTTGTTATTTAAAGTTTGACTATTAGGTCTATAAAAGAGAGTACTGATATTTATAACGATAAATAAGTATATTACGAAAATATATTTTGTGCCAAATCTAACTATACTCATTTGACATCATAAATAAAGATATTTCTTAATATAAATTTGATAAAACTTAAAAAAAGACGATACTATGCCATTGTCTTTTAGAACCGGGGGAGTAGCTTGAACCACCGAGCTAGTGACCTAGTGGCTGAAAGAAAAGGTGTCATTCTTTGTGCCAGCGGAATTCACTCTCCAGTTACCCGCCAGAGTCTGTCTGCGAATGTGAAAACTGAAACCCCAGACCCGGTCATCACTCGCCTTAGGTGCCTGTTTAGTCCCTAAAATTTTGCAAAATTTTTCAAGATTTTCCGTTACATCGAATCTTTGACGCATGCATGAAGCATTAAATATAAATAAAAAATAAAACTAATTACACAGTTTAGACGAAATTCACGAGATGAATCTTTTAAGCCTAATTAGATTATGATTGAACACTAATTGTCAAATAACAACGAAAGTACTACAGTACCGTTCCCCAAAAAATTTCGCCGGCTAAACAAGACCTTGGTCTACAGACTACAGGTACACAAAAAAGCTCAGACCGAAAGACGGTGGTGGATCCACACCATCGTCGTAGCAGCAGTAGACAGACGACTGACCTGACCTGGTCAGCAGGTCAAGCGAGGTCATCCGAGAGACTTGAAACGTTCACATCGTACATTTGATTGACTCGTTAAACATACGGACCAACATCGTCGCTTCTGCGAGAGTGTGAATCTCAATTAGGGTGTGTTTAGTTGGGTGAAAGTTGGAATTTGGGCTACTGTAGCACTTTCGTTTTTATTTGGTAAATAGTGTTCAATCATGGACTAATTAGGCTCAAAACGTTCGTCTCGTAATTTCCAACCAAACTGTGCAATTAGTTTTTTTTCGTCTACATTTAATGCTCTATGCACGTATCACAAGATTCGATGTGATGGGTACTGTAGCACTTTTTTGGATTTTGGGGTGCCAACTAAACACGCGCTTAGAATAGCTATAAGCACGTTAAGGCCTTGTTTAGTTCCTCTCAAAACTTTACACTCTATTGTATCGAATGTTTGGACATATTAATATAGTATTAAATATAGATTAAAAAATAATTAATTGCACAGATTATGACTACTTTACGAGACGAATATTTTAAATATAATTAGTCCATGATTTGATAATAAAGTGATACAGTAACACATATGCTAATGACAGATTAATTATACTTAATAAATTTATCTCACGGTTTACGACAGCTATAATTTGTTTTTTATTAGGATCCGAACATCCCATGCGATACGACGTCCCAAAACTTTAAACATGGATCTAAGCAACCACCTAAACAAACAAACTGTCCTTTTTGCGTGTGTGAGTCGTGGGAGAGAGAGAGAGTTCGAAAGACTACTGGTTCAAATGCAGGTGTTTCCATACCTTGGGGTCAGGGTAATTGAGACTCAGGTTCAGACCCTTTCCTCGACCAGTTGTTGCTATTTTGTACGGCTCCTTTCCTCCCCTTTTCCCAAAGAGAAAAACACTGGCCATATTTAACTCCTGTAATTAACTAATTATATCAGAGAAAAGTCATTGCTCTTCAGAGTTCAGTTGCAGCAGCCATTTGCAGAAAATCAAGGTTTATCAGCAGCTTTTTACTAGAAGTGCTTCTTTTGTGCACGTCCGTTGCGAAAAACCGACAGCAACCGTTGCAGAAAATCAAGCTTTATCAGCAGCTTTTTACTAGAAGTGCTTCTTTTGCACGTCCGTTGCGAAAAAACGACAGCAACCGTTCCTTTTACCCGGAGGAAGAAAAGGGCTAGTACAACAGTGTGGGAATTGGACGCGACATCGTCTTTCGTCTCGTGTCACCTGCCAAAAATGAGAGAAATGCTGCGGCAGCCTGTTCGTTTGGCTGGTTCGTTTCGTTGCTGATTCATGAAGAAGTACCACTGACTGGTTTATGTGAGAGAGAAATACTGTTTCGACTGAAAATTTATGATGTTTACGATAAGCCACGTCCAAACGAACGGGCTGACTAAATGCCGAGCAGACGTCAGTTTCATGCCGGGTAGGGGCGGCCGTGTCCACGCTACCGTTCGGGCGGTGGATGCCCGCGTGTCGCCGAAAAGTTGCGCGGAGACCTGGCACCGCGGCGACACGGTCGCCGGATGCGCGGGGCTCTGCCTGCCTGCTGACGGCGGCGGTTCCCGTTCCGTTTCCGCCTCCATCCCGGGACGCGGTGCGCACGGCATCCACCCAGCCTTCCAGGGCCCAGCGTCACACGGGCGGACGGTTCGGTTCTGTGTGCCGCGCTCGGCTCAGTTCCTCCGCCCGGTCCGCGGCGTCCCAGCGTACAGGCGGCCTGGCCTGTTCCTTTTTTCCGTCGCGAACCCATGGACGAGGCGACCCGTTGACTCCACTCCAGCAGGGCGCGGCGTTTGCGACGAACAGTGCTCAGGTTGATGCCAACACGGTTCCTGAATGACAGCCACAAGGACAAGAATAATGCATGAGAACCTTTGGAAAAGCAAAAGGCATTTCGAGCGGCGTCCGTGGAAATAAACCTTTTTTGTTATAACAATGGAAATAAAAGTTTGAAGCCGTATTTCGCGGTAGAAGCCAAATCACGGCTGATAGATAGTTGAACTACTCTCGTAGCCATGATAAATAAAGAGGCCCTTAGATTGAGGTATCTACGTTGTTTATGTAATGTGTTGTATCACTTATCTAAATTTATCCATGTTGTTGTTCGGTCCATCGGTGTTGTAACGATTGTCACGTGGCTTAGATCTAAGTCAGAAACCGTAAGTTATTCGTGTGGCTATCATGCTGTACAAATATTCTCTCTTATAACTAGTACTTTTTATTCACTTGCGTGTTCACACTGACATTCTGAGCGCTTTACTTTTATTCTCTCTTATAGCTAGTACTTTTATTCGCCCCATGCGACCGCAACGAGGACAAAATTTGATTTATTCATTATTGCTAGAACTTTTGTTCGTTAATTTGAAGAAAGACGCGTGTCGGTTGACCTGGATAATATAGATTTATGAGTAACCCAATTCACCAGTATTGTAACGCTTTGCTATATGATTTTGATTAAGCCTAGTATATTATATCCGCACAACACTAGGTTTTTATTCTTTTATACTAGTATATTATTATATCAAGTATGAACACCATTGTTCGTTGATCCATGGATCGAGAGTGAAAACCTTGACCCCTCTCTCTCTCTCTCATGAGACTGAGAGTAGGATCGTCGTAGCTAGGCTTAAGAATTAAGATAGCGACGCACCCGGCGCACGCACGCACGGGCACGGCGGCTTACGCTTCAACCGCGGCAGCTAACGGGACGAAACCCATACAAAGGCAGAGCCGCAGACGCGCACACAGCCAAAAGCAACCAACCCCCACCCCGAGGGCTTCCTTCCTCTTCTTCCTTTTGCTCTCTCTCCCCTCCTCCCCTGCTCGGCTACTCGAAGCCAGGGGAACCCAGCCCAGCCCCGCACGCACAGGGTCGCCCACGCCACGCATACGCAGCTGCGGCGGAGGGCCATCCGATGGGCTGCTGCGGGTCCTCGCTGCGGGCGGGGACGCACCCGGAGAAGAAGCCGCCGGGGAGGGCGGCGGGGGCGCTCCCCCCGCACCGCTCCTCCTACTCGCTGAATCAGCACCAGGCGCCTGCGCCCTCCGCGGCTCGCGCGGGCGCCGGCGGGCGCCAGGTGCCGCCGCTCAAGGAGTTCTCGCTCGCGGAGCTGCGCGCCGCCACGGGCGGCTTCGCGGCGGAGAACATCGTGTCCGAGAGCGGCGAAAAAGCGCCGAATTTCGTGTACAAGGGCCGCCTCGAGGCCAACCGCCGCGCGATCGCCGTCAAGAAGTTCACCAAGATGGCGTGGCCCGATCCCAAGCAGTTCGCGGTACGCCACTACGCCCTATAACAGGACGGCCTCGGCCTCGGGGTTCGACTGTCGCCCAACCCACCCCGCGCGCGCCCCGATTTGGGATGGAATTCGCCGCGATGAAAGCTTTGCTTCTTCTTTTGCTCGCAGGAGGAGGCCAAGGGGGTCGGGAAGCTGCGCCACTGCCGCCTTGCCAACCTGATCGGCTACTGCTGCGATGGGGACGAGCGGCTGCTCGTCGCCGAGTTCATGCCCAACGACACGCTCGCCAAGCACCTCTTCCACTGTACGTTTGCTCTTATCGATCCTTTACCCATTGGTCCATTTCTGATAAAGTCGCTTTCTGGATTTCTGGTTGGCTGCGAGATATATCTCGCTGGCCATTTTCGGTAAATACAGCCTGCAAAGATTTTGTCCTTGTCGGATTCGATCCCTGGTTAGTGCGGAAGTTGGCAAAAAAAGACGAATCCGTGTGCTCTGAGCAACCGCTGACGCTTAGCAGCCTCCCGCATTTGGTGTACCGAACGAATGATTGATGATTGGGCTAGGCTTTGTCATATGCAATTCCTGATTTGGCTGTTGTTGGCGTGGTCGTTGTGTGAATCCATAGAATCAGATTATGGTGGCTGCATTGAACACATGGTGTAATTTTAATGCATCACTGTTCTGTGTTCACAAGTTCTGTTCATTGTTTTGGATGGGTGGATGACTAGAATTCACTCAGACGATTTCAATGTAGCCGAATCTTCTCATTGTGAAACTTAAGAAATTGCTATGTGTTCTAGAATGCCTATTGGAATTAAGCAGTTCATTTATGAACTAAATGTTTGGATATGTATAATTTGTTTCCGATGAACAGCCTGACCCTAGGGTGAATGGGCAAGTTTGGGTTTGTTGGTAACGATAGCCCCGGTTGATAAATGGTGCTTAATTTCTTTGTGAACATTAGGGCATGTCATTACTTCTTTTGTTAATCTAGACTGCATCAACCTTTTATGGGAAGATGATTTGGTAAAAATAAGCAAGTAACTGCGGTGTATGTAGGTCAGTTCACTGTTGATACTGCTTTTACTCTTATTCAGGGGAAAACCAGACAATTGAATGGGCTATGCGCCTGAGAGTTGCATACTACATCGCTGAAGCACTGGAGTATTGTAGCACTGAGGGAAGGCCTATGTATCATGACCTCAATGCATATAGGGTCCTCTTTGATGAGGTAACTATTACTTTGATTTTCTTTTTTTCTTACGGGCAATGGAGTTATATGGAGAACTGCCAATAGACTATAGTATCATAAAGCTGAGGAAATGTGGATAATATTGTTTTCGCTACAAATATCTCTTGTGCAAGTGCCAAGTATTGCTGTGTTCCTCTGACAAGAGCAGCTTTTGATTCCATTTGCTTTTACCACCAGCGTGGATGTTTTCTCTGAGCTCATCTGAAATTGGAAGTGGAGGGGTCTGTTGCCACCTGTTTTCCACCTCTGGTGGTTGGAAGGAAAAATATATTAAAATAGAATGTCAGCTCTTTTTCATTAAAATTTCGTTAAAAATGGTATATTCAGCCCTAAAGGCAGGTCTTTAGATAGTAATGCCATATTAGCAAACATGTTCTTTTTTGAAAAATGATTAGCATCCTTATGAGGAATGCTCTTTGCGATGACGTCAATTGCATATTACAGCACTTTGCATGTTTCTCAAATTCTACTAATCCTGTGTGGGCTGAACGACCAATATAATTTCTTTTGCAGAATGGTGATCCTCGTCTTTCATGCTTTGGCCTGATGAAAAACAGCAGGGACGGGAAAAGTTATAGCACAAATCTTGCATATACACCTCCAGAATATTTGAGAAATGGTAACATATGATTTATCTATGACAAAGATAAATCTTCTTTGAATTGCTTAGTTAGGGTATTTAGAAGTGATATAAATAACAGTACATGCTATTTACTGAAAATAGAATGGCTAACATTTTCGTAATGATGGGATTTCCATGGCAACCTTTGCTGCTCCAGGAAGAGTAACATCAGAAAGTGTCATATTCAGCTTTGGCACTATACTGCTGGACCTCCTAAGTGGAAAGCGTATACCCCCTTCCCGTGTAAGTTTTTCTTACTAGTAACTATTTCTTTCCAAGTTCCCGTGTGATACAGAAGTACAGAACCCCTTTCACAAAATACCTTTGTATTTAATACTATTCTGTGCATATCTGCTTTGCGCAAGTGCCACCAAATGTGTGATACTGATCATCTTTGAGAGGACATATTTTTCTTGTGAATGTGACTTGGTAGCAGAATTGTTTGGTGAAACTACTTAATCATTAACAATTAGATTCGTTTCGCTCAGGCTCTTGATATGATAAAAGGCAACAATATCCAAGTACTGATGGATTCACATTTGGAGGAAACTACTCAACAGATGAGGCAACCACATTGGTTGACCTTGCCTCTCAGTGCTTACAGTATGAACCTAGGGACCGGCCCAACACTAAAAAGCTGGTTTCCGTACTTGAGCCCTTGCAAATAAAATCAGAGGTAACAGTTACATTTTATCCTTCTCAATTAAAAATCCTTTTGTGTTCTGGCATCGATTGTTTATCGTGATGTGATTCATGGCTTCCATACGACTGTTATCTTTTGGTAACAAGGCAATTTTTTGTTTTTACTTATGTCTGGTACATTTCCATTTTTAAATGACAAACAGGTACCATCCTATGAGATGCTTGGCATTCCAAAGTATGAAGAAGAAGCACCTCCCCCTCCACAACCACAACACCCTCTTTCTCCCATGGGTGAAGCCTGTTCTAGGATGGATTTGACAGCTATCCATCAGATTCTAGTGAATACACATTACAGGGATGATGAAGGGAGTAATGAGGTAAAGATCAGAGCATTTCTGTTGCTGTCTGCTGACTTTTCGACAGGATATTACATCTAAGAAAAATGGCGTCTTTATTGCAGCTATCGTTCCAGGAATGGACACAGCAGATGAGGGACATGTTGGAAGCTAGGAAACGTGGAGACTTTGCTTTTCGTGATAAAGATTTCAAGGCAGCCATAGATTGCTACACACAGGTGCCTCATCTTAGTTATATCTGGAACACTTAGATATTCTCGAAAACTGCTAGAATGCAGCCAATTCACTTTGCAACCTCTTCATTTTGCAGTTTGTTGATGTGGGGACTATGGTATCACCAACAGTGTACGCAAGGCGGAGTTTGAGCCACCTCATGTGTGACCAACCTGATGCCGCCCTCCATGACGCAATGCAAGCACAATGTGTGTACCCAGATTGGCCAACTGCGTTCTACATGCAAGCTGTTGCGCTCTCAAAGCTGAATATGCAGAGCGATGCTACGGACATGTTGAACGAGGCGTCGCAGCTTGAAGAGAAGCGGCAGAAGAACACAAAAGCTTGAAACGGTTCCTTTTGCGGCTCAAAAAGGTTTATGTTGAGACATGCTGCTTGGTCCTTCCTAAACATTGTGGTTAGTTCCTGGAATCCTGGTCCAGGGGTTGGGAATGTAACTGGGGGGTGTGCTGTAGAGTCCTGTGATTGTAACTACCTGGTTTTGGCATTTCTGTGATGCATTTTTTGGGCCCGTGTACATGTTACATTGACAAAAGGTCAAAACAGGCAGGATGCAAGGGAAGTTACTTCTGGTTGTCAAAATCTGGATGCAAGTGAACTCCAGAGTCATCTTTGCCTAGCTAACGAATCGTTGTGCTGCTTGTACTGACATGGTGAGAATTTTTTTATTTATTTTTAACACTTTTTGTAAAATAATTTTAAATCTTACACTGTTTATTTTTCTTCTTCAAAACTAACACTTTTGGCCGCGTCTATTTCACTGGCGCGGCGAAACGCCTATGCCGCGCCATTCATGGTGGCGCGGCGAGAGGGTTGACGTGCCGACGACCGGAGCGACGACCGGTGACGTGGCAAGGTCTGCCGCGCCACCGATCTTGGAGCGACTCTGGGGCGTCCTAATCGGTGGCGCGGCAGAGCCAGGTAAATACCGCCGCGCCTGCCCGCCCGCGTGCCCGCCGCCGCGCCGGCCTCGCCACGCATGTAGGCGCGCCACTCCCACCGTGCGGGCCGCGCCCGCACGTTGGCGCGCCACCCCCTCCAGCCGCCCGCTGCGCCCTCCGGCCACGCATGGCGGCTGCCCGCCGTGCCCGCCACCGCCCTCACTGCCGCGCCTCCCGGCCCGGTCTAGCGTGCAATTGAAACGCAATATTAATATCAATCTGGAAAAAAAAAGAGAAAACATGTGGTACTTTCTCGCAACCACTAGGATCAAAAATCAGAACCTTCATCCGAGACATCCCATCATACTTGAATACCAAGAAGTCAATCTTTTTCAAGTCATGGGCACTAACAAATGACTTCCACCCAGATTAAAGCACTATTCTGTCCATATTCTTTGCAACTTGAACATCAAAAGTATAACCGCCAAGTGATTCAAGAGTAATACTTCTATTTTGTCTCCGAAATGTTTAGCAAATTTACCCGGTATGACCTGCGGCAGCAAGATTAACGCAGAACAAAGTTCAGATGAAGTAGAATTTATACTCTAGTGTGTTTGAATGTAGAGCTAAAGTTTAGAGGCGTCATATCAGATGTCATATGGGGTGTCACATTGAATGTTTGGATAGTAATAATAAAACAAATTATAGAAGTCCTCAGTAATCCGCGAGACAAATTTATTAAGCCTAATTAATCCGTCATCAGCATATGTTGATTGTAACACCACTTTGTCAAATCATAGACTAATTAGACTTAAAAAATTCGTCTCGCAAATTAGTCTCAATCTATGTATTTAGTTTTGTAATTAGTCTATATTTAATACTTTATATATATGTCAAACATCCAATGTAAAGGGGACTTTAGGAGGGGTTTATGCATGGCTCCGGCCTCCGGTCCAATTAATTTCTTTGGCCGCCTGTTGTTAACAATTCCCTGGCAGTCTGGAGTACGGCTCAGTGGCTCACCGCCGATCTTGCGATCTGCCTGCCGTCAGCTGAGCAGATGGCGAGCCGGCAAATGGTTCTCTCGGCAAACACGGCAACAATGTGCTGCGTGCAGCGACTGCAGAGGCATGGGCTCATGCGCATCCGGATAGGAGGTGGAACCGTCGGTGTGGCCTGTGGCGTGCGCTCACCGAGCCACCGGCCCTGTCGTCGGCCTTGGGCTTTCCGGATGACGCCGAAGCCGTCATCTGCACAGAGCACGCCGTGATCGACGACCGGCGAACTGGACACAGATCCCAGCGGATCGTGGGCAGCACCAGCACTGCGCCCGGCGAGACAGCTAGGTTTGGTGCCGCGTGAGTCCGTGACAGGTTGACCACTGACACCACCATCAACGGCGGTGGGCTATTGGGCTCCAGATCTGGAGTGTCCCAGATATAAAAGGTCACATGAGCCGAATTGGTCCATTCTAAAGTCAGCCCATCGAACTTGTGAATCGAGGACTCGAGCAGGTTGCAATAAGTAGGGTTTATTAAAAGTCAGCATGTTACTGCCTCCTCGCACTAGAGAACGCGGAGCATCAGTGGCTCTTCTACGAACTAATACTGGTCACATCTCTGGATGCATGGTAACGAACTAATAAAGATGTAATTAAACGATGGCGCCAATCAATGGTTAGATATATTTGCGTCATGTTTCCGGCATTCATTCGAGTCTAGCTCAGCACACGTGCACCCTCTGTTTTGGCTAATTAAGTTTTCCGTGGTTCCACTTGCATTTATTTATATTAATCATCGACGGCTACTATAGAGACGACTACTATAACAATTTTTTAAAAATCCAGAGAGACCCATCAGACAGCCATACGCATGCGACCATTGCAAGTCACAAGTCACACGTAGGCCTCGTGCTCATAAGTCACGTGTGTCCACCTAAGATATTATTTCTCCTCGTTTTATTATTATCCGATTTTAAAATGAGTATTTGGGACTCTAAATGAATTTAAATGAAAAATTGTCAACTACAAAGCCGTATAACCTTTTGAGATCTACAACTTTGGTTTGGTTGTTTTACCATCCGAGATCGTTTGAAAATTTTGAATTTCAAATTTAAGAAATTCAAATATAATTTTCCTTAGATAGATGATTTCAAATAAAAAAGTTATCAACTACAAAGTTTATAACTCTTCGAGATCTACAATTTTGGACTTGATCGTTTCTCCATCCAAGATCATTTGAAAAAACTTGAATATTACTGTGCAACTCCTATTTTTTTTTAGAGGCGACTCTCTTTCTAGCCGTCTCTAAAAAATCGATTTCTAGAAGTGGATGGAAATAGAGCCTTAAGACAAATAAGAACTAATTTTATTCCATTATATGCACAACAGCACAGAGACCAGAGCCAACAAAATTAAACATTGACAAGTTGAATCAGACAAAGACACAAGATAGATACTAAAACACAAGACACAAGGTAGACTAAATCTAGCCTCCGGCATCGTGCCCTTGCCCGGCCGCCGAGGTCCTATGCTGCGGCAAGCTTCGTGACCACCTACACCAGCTTCGTGGCCGCCTTGATCGTGGCGGCGACGGCAACATCTCAGCTGCGTTACCGGCAACTACCGCCCTTGCACGGCGCCACCTCTGGCGTGCATGGCATCCTACCCGCCGCCAGGCATGGGCTCCTGCCCGCCCTGGCCGCCGCGCGTCGCTAGGCTGCTCATAGGATCGAGACCGTTCGAGATTTTCTTCGATGAGACCAAGGTGTGAAACATGTGGAGAGGCGTCCACAGATGGAATATACCATGTGGTTGTGAGCCCCATAGGCCCACACAGGCCTGGACGTCTTCTACCTTCATTTGAGCGGTCTTTTTTTTTTAAACTTGCCAGGAGCACTGGCGTATCATGTAAGACTTGTAAATGGGCAACTACACTTGACTGCGCGCTCAAGCGCAATTGAGACTGTCTGAGAGATCTCAGAACGCGTCTACTGAGACGCTCACACACCCTATACACACACCACGCCTGCAGTCCCCTCTGGAGAAAATCCCCGGTGCAGCACCCACGATCGCCCATGCTGGGATTCGAACTGTGGCCGGGCTGCCTGGCCACTGCCAGCGCTACCAATTGAGCTAGAGCTTGTCCGCTTCAGCGGTCTCTGTGGGACAAATTTCAAACTCTACATATACATATGCAGTTTCTCTAGGCCGGAGGGAGTACACTGTGTGGCCTAGTGCTTTGGCTCGAGACCAAAGTTAGAATTTGGACACGGCAGTACTTTTGTTTTTATTTGGCAATTAGTGTTTAATTATGGACTAATTAGGTTTAAAACGTTCGTCTCGTAATTTCTAATCAAACTGTGCAATTAGTTTTTTTTATCTACATTTAATACTCCATGCACGTATCATAAGATTCGATATGATAGGTACTATAGCATTTTTTTGGAAAAAGTTTTTTTTTTCACTTCGGCTCATGTATCGACATGTGGACCGAGGGCTCTTTTTTTTTCTGCACCTTGACTTGGTCCACCACTCTCTTTACCAATATAAGGCTCCCCAATGGTCTGCACAAACGGGGAAATTCGTTATTATATTAGAAAAACAGGGAAACAGAAGACGACCTGGAAGTCTTCTCATTTTGTGTCTCCGCAGTGGCAAACGCGGAGCTGGCACAGGCGCTAGTGAGCCACACATGAGGACCTGTTTGCCCTGCGATCTCCTAGACAAGATGCCGGACATCGGAATGGTCATCCTTGTAATCCCACTGCACTACCAGCTTCCTTGAAGCTGCAATACAGGGCAAGACGCCGTGACCCGCCCGAGGGGGTGTAGAGCTGGCATGAACTCTCCTGCATGCAGATTTGTAATCGACTGATATTTTTTCCTTGATGTATAAATGGTACTTAAGCCATGTTTATAAAATCTGTAACTGATCCATTCAACCAAACTTCTCAACTTATAGCTTATTATGCTCCAATCACCTAATTTATAAAAAGCCATAAGCTGGTCAGCTCTATTGTAGCTTATAAAAAGTTTAGCTGGTCTAAATTGGGTCTTAATTACTCTATTGGCTTAGTTGGTTATGTTTTTTTTGGGTGAAACCTGTCTATTTAGGTTTGAGTCTATGACTCACTGCATGTCCTTGTATATATTTATGGCTAATTATTCTTTCAAATGTAGATGACATATCATCGACAACTAAATGCTTGTGATCGCTTCGTCAATCACAAGATACCTCAATATCCTAGGAGTGCGTTTATATTATTAATAAGTGTGCACTCATGTACTTGAGTGTCAAGGCCGTTAACAAAGTTGTGATTTTTTGTTTCTTCAAAATATAGACAAAACTTCCCGGGGTTTTTTTCCCCTGCCTGACAGCATGTTGCCGTAACAAACTCTGAACTCTAATCCACTGATTGAGAATTAACTAGCAGGGCCAGCACCACAAGGAAGAATATCTTCGACAATTAGGATGACCTCTAACATGCATGAGCCTTAGCTGCTCCTTGTAAAAAGAAAACAGTCTGAAGAGAGGTTAGCTGCTCATGACCAAGTGGAGGACTTCGCATAACAGCGTGTTGAGCACGAGTCAACGTAACGCAGGCCTCACGGTAACCCTTACCATCGCCATTACTGCGCGGAAGCTGCCCCTGGGTGTGGGTGTGTTACTACTGGTAGCCGGCCGGAACACGGTGAGTCCGTGACCACCAGTCCACCTAGCCTGGCTTCATCGCTCGCTCTCGGCTTTATAAAAGCCGTGCCCAAATGGCATGGGAATGGCATGCACTCCGATCCACCATTGTTCCTCATCCTTGTTTGCGTTGTTCCAGCACAGCAGTAAACCATGAGGAAGGTTTTCGCGCCGCTGCTGGCCGTCGCCGCCAGCACTGCACTGCTCGCTGCAGCCGGCGTCGTGGTCAGCGCGCAGCAGGGCGTGGGGGCCATCATCACGGCGTCTATGTTCGAGAGCATGCTGAGCCACCGCGGCGACAACGGCTGCCCGGGCGCGTTCTACACCTACGACGCCTTCATCCAGGCCGCCGGCAAGTTCCCTGACTTCGGCACCACTGGCGACGACGGGATGCGCAGGCGGGAGCTCGCCGCCTTCTTCGGCCAAACCTCCCACGAAACCAACGGTACGATCTATCGTCAATCTTTTCCTGTTCTTTCGATCTATATAGACTATATGCATGACTTAACCTATCAATCATGATTTTTTATTTACGATCGATCGACATGACTGTGTGTATGTGGCCGGCCGGTGGTGTGGTGGGTTGCAGGAGGATGGGCAGCTGCTCCGGACGGACCGTTTGCGTGGGGATACTGCTTCGTGGAAGAACGGGGGCAACAGACGGACCCACCCTACTATGGACGAGGACCTATACAACTCACCCAGTAAGATCGATGAACACAAGCACACGTTTGACTTTACATTACATATAAACATGCCCATGTCAAAGGATGATCATTCGTCAATTCGCACGTTGGCAACAGTGAATACAACTATGAGCAAGCCGGGCAGGCGTTGCAACAGGACCTGGTGGGCAACCCGGGGCTGGTGTCCAGCGACCCCGTGGTGTCCTTTGAGACGGCCATCTGGTTCTGGATGACGCCGCAGGGGGCGAAGCCGTCGTGCCACGCCGTGATGACCGGCGGCTGGATGCCCTCCGCCGACGACAGCAGCGCGGGGAGGGTCCCCGGGTACGGCTTGCTCACCAACATCATCAACGGCGGGCTAGAGTGCGGCCAGGGCCAGCAAACGGACGGCGACGCGAACCGGGTCGGCTACTACCAGAGGTACTGCCAGATGCTTGGAGTGACAGATGATGACAACTTATCCTGCGAGAATCAGAAGCCTTACCCTAATAATTAACGGCGCATAGCATAGCAACGGGAGTAGTAGTAGTACAGTAGTAACAAAAATAAACAACCACCGACGGGTGGCTTTGTAAGATGTTTCCCCGGATATATATGTGTTTTTTAAGGCCTTATTTGATGCACACCTATCCACGTCAATCCACATGTGTTGAGGTGAATTGGAGTGGAACTTAGTTTGAGTTTCACTCCAACCTACTTCAACACATGTGGATTAAGATGGATACATGTGTATCCAAACGAGGCCTAAAGCGGCTGCGGATACCCTTTGTCCCATAATAATTAAGTTTGAGGTTCAAGTTTTTTTACATGAACATTTGGTAAAACACTTGTCATGTATGTAGATAAAAAGATGAAATATATGTATTATTCTTATCTTTTATTTTTCTTCATTTTTCCTTCTCTCATATATATTTTCTTTCCATTCTCCCTCCTCTCACAAGTGCCGCCTCCCTTGCGTCCGCTGTGCCCCTGCTCATGCCACCTCTGTCTCCCTCCACCTCGCTCACCCACCCCGAACGACGTCCACCATGCGCCCCTAATCGATTGTCGTCTGACCCGCGCATGCACGCGCCCACATCGAGGAGCAATCTCGCGCCCTCGCTTTGACCCTCTTCTGTTCCTTGTACAGACATGGGGAAGCATTCCACTGGTCACAACCATGCGGACGATGACTTGACAATGCATAGCCAGTTGGACGTAGAGAATCTAAGGCAAACAAACAGGGAAGAGGAGTAGAAAGATAGGGGCTGATCCAGCGTGGGTCTGCGGGGCACAAGCCCCCTTACCGTAAAGGCGCATTAGCCAAACAAAACATGATTAATATATGATACTGCACTTTCCATGCAGGGCTTGGTCGCGCCAGGCCAGTTTTACTAGTAAGGTCATTAGGTGAAACAAACATATGACAACCGAAGATGAACACATAGCCAGCACGACGAAGACGGAGGCTGCAATGATGACATGTGTGGCCGGCTCCACTAGCTTCACGGTCGCGTTGCAGGATGAACACATAGGCTGCAGTGATAACATGTGTGGCCGCCTCCACTAGCTCCGCGGTCGCCTCGATCGCAGCCGCGGTGTCGTTGCCCACCGTCGGACAAAGGCTGCGGGGGCTTGCTCAAGCCCCCCTATACCCGCAGAAGTTCCATGAAGTTAATGGGAAGAGGGAAAAAAATGGAGAAAAGAAAAGAAAAGGGATGAAGGATGAAGGAAGATGAAGCCCGTTAAGACTCATTCCTGTGTTTGCCCTGGTTTCATGAGAGACCCTGGTTCCAATGTTAACAATGTCTTTGTGTGACGAATGGTGATGCCCCAAGTACCTCGCCCCAAAAAATATGTTAACAATTTCCTTGCGTGACGGATGGTGATGTCGACTAGATTATTGGTAGAGTTTGGCTCGTACTACAAAATAGGTAAAAGGGTATGATTTTTTAAAGAAAAATTAGATGTCATGGGCTCGATAAAACTGGATGTAAATGGTTGTATCCAGCGTATCAACCTGGACCCACCCATCGTGTATGGTTCCTGTGTTAGTTGATCTCGGCCTATTGGGCCCTTATCTCTGCTCCCTGATCGGGGGAGCCCAACCCTAATCCGGTTGGTGGGCCCCTGTCGCACAGCACACATAAAAGGAAGGTGGGGGTGAGGGCTCGGAGAACGAGGTTGAACGGAGCCGCCACTTCCACCTACAGTAACCCTAAACCGATCTAAAGACCATGCTGCCAGCGACGGGATGTGCCCCACCACCACCGTCACCTCTGCAGGGTCTCCACAGCGCTACTGGTGATCGTCTCCACCGCGTTGGACGGCTGCTACGCCGACGGCACCGGCGTCTCCCAGCTGCGGTGCATCTACTGAGAAGGCGAGGAGCCTTCACCGGATCTACGGGTTACGGTCACACACAGAGGTACCAATCCTACGATCCTAACAATGGTATCAGAGCTAGGTTGCCTCTGTGTAACCCTAACCCTAACCGGGTAAAAGAAACAGAAAAGGGACCGGGGGTGGCGGAGGTCACTGGAACCCCAGTCACCACCGCCACCACGCGGGAAAAGTGCCGCACTGACATGGCAAGAAAGAACAGATCCGTGTTCGGATCAGAGAAGAAGTAAAGCAATGGGAAAAGGATCTCAAGAACCCTAACCCTAACCCGCGCAGAAAGCTCGGGGAAGAAGAAGAGTAAAGAACCGAACACTTCCTTTCGGATCTGATTCCCTAACCCTAACCCTAATCCCCACCTTCGATTCGGAAAACAGAGATCAATCCAAATCGGAGAAAGAAAAAAGGGGAAGAAGGGAAGAGATTCGGATGAACTCTGAAAAGGAAAAGAAATTAAAAGAAAATGAAACCCTAACCCTAGTACCCCGAATCGGGTTAATCCCAAAAGAAGAAGGGAAAAAGGGGAAGAAGGGGAAGGAATCAGTCTCGAGGAAGAACCCTAGCATCTCGATCTCGAATCAAACAAAAAGAAAACACGGATTGGGTTCAACCGAACCCTAACCCTAGATCTCCTTTTCGGGTGAACAAGCGAAAAGAAAAGAAAGAAAATACAAATCCAATCCGAAAGGGAAAAAGAAAGGAAAAGAATGGATCTACCTCTTGCAGTAAGCGTCGGATGTCCTTCACGGCGAGGGAGAAGAAGAGCCGAGCCGGCCCTTCACGCAAGACGGGGAAGAAGACCGAGCCGGCTCTCAAGAAAGGGGTCACCATGCAAAGCCGCTCAACGGCGACGCGCTCACCTGTTGGGGAGCGCGCACGCCGGCGAGGGGGTCGGCGGCGGTGCCATGGACGCCTCCTCTAGCTCTCGTTCGCTCGGTTGTGCTCGGCTGAGAAGAGAGAGCAAGGTAGAGAGAAGAGAGAGCAGTGAGGCAAAGAGAGAGAGGCCGAATGAAAATGACCTAGGGTTTGTTTCGGGAGCTGTGGCGTCATGGGTTTTATACTCGGCCGAGATGCGCAGGCCGGCCGTCGATCAAGACGGGACGGTCGAGATTGATGGGCCAACCATGCTGCCCAAAGCGGAAGAGAGCCTGCCAAGCGACTTTGCTGCCCAGTGCAAAGTTGCGGCTGCTGCGGCTCTTCTTGCACACATGAGAGAGATGGGCCGAGCCGGCTTTTGCCGGTTTTTGGGCCGAGAAAGAAAGAATGAGCCCACATTTTCTGTTTTTCTTTTTCAGTAAATTGAAAAATGGAAAATGGCTCAAAAGGAATAGAGAAAAGAGAATTTCAATGGTTTAAAATTTATGGTAAAATTACACCAACGTGTTATTTTTTCAAAAAGTAGAGATGAACCGACATGATATTTAACCGGAGAAAAGAAAAATTTTTCCATTAAATGTTTATTTCCTGGAAATTGATTAATGGATTAAAGGAAATAGAAAATACAATTTTTCCCTTTGGGTAAAATTCAAGAAAAGGAGAAGTTTTTCCACAGCTAGAGAAATTGTTTATTCTCCAGTTAATTTGTACCAATGTGGTATTTAATTGGAGAAAAAAAGATTTTTTCCGCTGCTAAAGAAAATGTTGATCCTCCAGTTATTTTGAACCAATGTGGTATTTAATTGGAGAAAAAGAGATTTGACATGATTATGATGTTGTTATTTTCTGACCAACATTGTTAATAATAATATCATAATTTTAATGATTTATGCATTAATTCTACTTCTACCCAACGGTGATGTATAATTAGTGTATAAGAAAAGTTGATAATTTTAATGATTTATGCATTAATTCTACTTCTGCCCAACGGTGATGTAGAATTAGTGTATAAGAACGGATGTTAATTTTAATGATTTATACATTAATTCTATTTCTGTCAAACGGTGATGTAGAATTAGTGTGTAAGAACAATTATGAAAGTTAAAGATTTATGCATTAATTCTATTTCTGTCCAATGGTGATGTAGAATTAGTGTATAATAATAGTTGTATGTTTTGATTTTGACCAACGTTGGAATCAAGGCATGCAAATGGTGTTAATATTATGTTAAGAAAAGTTTTGACCTGGTTTTCATCTTGTCTAAGGTGGACTGCGTAGTCATCTCACCGTGTTCCACTGAGATTGTGGCACCGATGAGGGAGACAAAAGAGAATGATGCCACTTAGGCAACTAAAGAGAGGGATTTTGAATCCCAAAAGATATCCCATGACTCCTTGGGTATAGGAAATGAATCACTACCAACAAGAAAAGTTTGGCTATGATAAAGAACATGATTGAGCTTGCAATTGTGGGCTCAATCTCAGAGTGTGACACGGTCACCGAGTACCTCGATAGAATAAAGAGTCAGTTCACTGGCTCTTCAAAGACAAGTGCTATCCAGCTGATAAAGCAGCTGGTGACAGATAGTCACTCTGTAATTGTGGCATAAGAGAGCTCACAATGCGTCGTCAAAATCATGGCACTATCGTTCAGGCCATATTTCGAGGGGGAGAATAGAAAGACTAGTTAAGAATGATATTCTTTCTCCATTAGAGCTCTCAGATTAAGAACAATGCAAAGAATGCATAAAAGGAAAGTATGTAAAGAAAGATGACAAACGAAGCACAAGAATTTTACAGATTATCCACACTGACATCTGTGGTTGGCTTTCCTGTAAAGAGTGTGGATGGTTATGATTCGTTCATAACATTCACAGATGATTACTCCCATTATGGCTATATTTATCCAATCAAAGAAAGAAAAGATGTATTGGATAAATTTAAGATATTAAAGATTAAGACAGTCAGGTCTGATCGTGGGGGAGTACTACGGTCAGCATACCCTAAAAGAATGGCATAGTAGCCCAGTATTCTACACCGGGCGAACCACAGCAGAATAGAGTAGCTAAAAGAATCAATCGTACCCTGATGGATATGGTGGGCAGTATGATAAGTTACTCCACCTTACAGTTGAGCCTGTGAATGGAGGTGTTAAAACCATCATTCATATTCTCAATAGAGTATCAAGAAAGTCGGTGCCCAAAACACCGTATGAGTTGTGGACAGAAAGAGTACCCTCACTAAACCACTTGCGTGTATGGGGGAGAGCCCTACTGAGGCTAAAGTATTTAACCCAAATATTGGGAAACTAGATCCTAAAATAGTAAGTTGCCATTTCATTGGCTATAAAGAAAAGTCAAAATATTTTCGTTTCTACTATCCAGAGTGACATACAAAGTTTGTGGAAACGAGACACACTGTCTTCCTAGAGGATGATTTGATGAGGGGGAGCATGGTAGCTCGAGAAATTGACCTTGAAATGAAGCGGGTGTATGCGCCCGCTCCAATGATTCATGAGCCATTTTTCTCACTAGCTGTTGTCGTTGCACCGATAGTACTAGATACAGTGGTGCCAGCACCTGTTGTTATCCCACCTGTGGCAACAATGAATGACGATGAGGAACCTATTCTTTAGGATCCTATAGAACCTATTACCACACATGAGGGGGAGCAACAACAGCCTCAAACAGAAGATGTGCCAAAAGTGGAGACCCCTAGAAGGTTTTAAAGAGTTAGAAAATCAGCTATTCCTGCTGATTATGAAGTGTACAATACTGAGAAATTTCAAATGAAGGATGATCCCACCTCATTTGAAGAAGCCATGAGAAATGATCATTCATCAAAGTGGCTTGAGGCCATGGAAGATGAAATGAAATCAATGAATGCCAATAAAGTTTGGGACCTGGAAATAATTCCTAAAGGAGTCAAAACAGTAGGCTGTAAATGGGTCTACAAGACTAAACATGACTCTCAAGAGAATATAAAGACATATAAAGTGTGACTTGTGGCAAAAGGCTTTATGTAAAGAGAAGGGATTGATTACAATGAGATATTTTCTCCAGTCTCATGTAAAGTTTCCTTTAGAATCATAATGGCATTAGTGGCACATTACGATTAAGAATTACATCATATGGATGTAAAGACGGCATTTCTCAACAGAGACTTGGAGAAAAATGTTTACATAGCACAACCGAAAGGTTTTGTTATGGAAGGAAAAGAACGAACGGGATGCCGTCTAAAGAAATCCATTCATGGATTAAAACAAGCTTCAAGACACTGGTACTTGAAGTTTGATCAGACAATAAAGGATTTTGGGTTTTAAAGAGAATGTAGAGGACAATTGTGTCTATTCAAAGTAAAGATAATGTAGAGGACAATTATGTCAATACAAAGTTTAAGAATGGAAAGTTTATCTTCCTTGTCCTGTATGTAGATGATATCTTACTTGCTAGTAGTGATGTCAGTCTACTACTGGAGACAAAGAAATTTGATATGAAAGATCTTGGCGAAGCCTCGTTCGTTCTAGGGATCGAGACTCACCGAGATAGAAGAAAAAGGGTATAAGGACTGTCACAAAAGACATACATGGAAAAGATCTTAAAGAAATTAAGTATGCACAAATGTAGTTCCTCACCTGCTCCTATAGTCAAGGGCGACAGATATGGGGATTTTCAATGCTCTAGGAACCAATATGAGCTCAATCGATAAAGTAAAAGTGGTTCCATATGCTTCAGCTGTCGGAAGTTTGCAACATGCTCAAGTATGTACGTGCCCTGACTTGGCATTTGTTACCGGGTTTTACTTGGCAGATTCCAGAGCAATTGTAGAATAGAACACTGAAATTAGTAAAGAAAGTCTTACATTATTTACAAGGAACGAAAGGCCTCATGATGACATATAGAAGATCTGATTCACTCCACATGGTGGGATATTCAGATTCTGATTATGCGAGAGTGAATGCATATCCAGACGTGAATTTTCTATCATCTCGCAAAGGGGAGCTATTTCATGGAAAAGCTCAAAGCAAACTATCACTACATCGTCCATAATGTATGACAGTTTGTAGCGTGTTATGAGGCAACGGGCAGGTGAACTAACTAACGAAGTTCATACCCGGTTTGAAGGTGGTTGACGACATCTATAGACCACTAAAGTAATACTGCGATTATAATCTGGCAGTACAGGATGCTCACAACATAAGTCAAGTGGTGCTGCCAAACATATTGACATAGAGTATTATGTTGTGAAAGATAAAGTCCAGGATCAAGTCATAAGTCATGAGCATATAAGAACAGAAATGATGCTCGCGGATCCGCTTACAAAAGGCTTACCACCCAACATGTTCAGAGGACATGATGTTCAGAGAACATGTAGCTAGCTTGGGTTTAAGGAAAAGCCTAAAATATTTCCTAGACAAAAGAAGGCCCAAAGATAAGTATCTATTTCAGAACAGAGTAGTGAGTTGTAGCTGTTAAGTCTATCGGTAATGGACCGTGACGATGAGGCATGCTCTATGAGCTAATCTGTAATGGAATAAACAAAAGTAAATGATATGAAAGTGAAAGATGGAATGAGATCAAGGGGGAGAATGTTAGTTGATCTCCACCAATAGGCCCAACGGTCTATTGGGCCCTTATCTCTGCTCCCTGATCGGGGGAGCCCAACCCTAATCCGGTTGGTGGGCCCCTGTCGCACAGCACACATAAAAGGAAGGTGGGGGTGAGGGCTCGGAGAACGAGGTTGAACGGAGCCGCCACTCCCACCTACAGTAACCCTAAACCAATCTAAAGACCATGCTACCAGCGACGGGATGTGCCCCACCACCACCGTCACCTCTGCAGGGTCTCCACAGCGCTACTAGTGATCGTCTCCACCGCGTTGGACGGCTGCTACGCCGACGGCACCGGCGTCTCCCAGCTGCGGTGCATCTACTGAGAAGGCGAGGAGCCTTCACCAGATCTACGGGTTACGGTCACACACAGAGGTACCAATCCTACGATCCTAACATCCTGGACCTATCGTGTATGGTTTAATAATTTCTAGACGTTAAATCTATTCTTTAAAAAAGATCCAAAGGGATAATACATGAGGTGGATAGAAATAAATACGGTGGTAATATGTATATTTATCAATATTTTCGCTCTTTCATAGTGTAGATATAGAATAGAATAGTATGAGTACAAGATTATTATCCGTTTTAGATCAACGATCCACCCTATTTTAGAGGGTAGGAATCCAAAGTACCTCCCAAACACTAATAAATTTCTCAAAGATAAACGCTCAAGTTTCTTGATTTTAACACACAAACTTTAGATTGAGGTGTGGCTTTGAGCTCTAGGCTGTGTCGACTGGGGCTTTACTTTGTGTTTCATTTGGGTATAAGCATCATTACACGGAAAACAGGATGGATCAAGTGTTGAGGAGCACAAATTCTCTCATCCGCGATCGAAGAAATAGCAGATTAACAAGTTGCTTTAGCCGAACGAATACCTAAAAGCATTGATCTGAGCGTGTTCATTCGTGCCTTGAGGAGTTGAGGTCGTCATACACAGTGCACGATCGTGTCCTCGCTAAACCCTAACAAAACCTCCGGACGGCGACGATGCGGCGCTGGTCCTCGCGCACGGACACCAGGAACAGCATGGCCTCGGTCTTCCCCTGCACGTCCACGAAGTGGTGCCGCGTGCCGGTGCTCGCGTCCAAGTAGCTCTCGCTGCCCAGCGCGCGCGTCGCGCCGCCCCTCGTCACCAAGGCCACCTCGTTGCCCCCTGTCACCGTGAACACCACGCCCTCGCACTTGACGCGGCCACCGGTGGCCTGCTTCCTCTCGCAGTCGCAGTGCTCGCTGTCGCCGTCGGCGGCGGAGTCCATGGTGTGGTGTCAATCTGTCTTGCGGTCGCCGGGACAAATAATCGATCGATTGGTGCCCTTTTGTAGACTGTGATTCGTTCCGAGTCCGATACAGTCTGCGTGGATTCGTATCCCGGTCGAATCAGGACGCCAACCGGCTTTGGTTAAGTTGTTATTCATTCATGACGCTTCGGACAATCAAGTTAGCTTCTTTTTCTTCTCAGCAACTTTGTCTCAATGTCATGAATAGATGGCCGGAGGTAGTAGCAAATCATCGTGGTAGCTGTTGGTAGAGCCGTGACTATTCTCATGTTTTCCTAATCCTAATAATTCGAAAAAGTCCAAACTACCCTCCGCACCCCAAGATTGGCCTAGAGCTTAGTCCAAAAACTAACCACAATCCGTGTGGAGTTTCTGGGCCATCTATTTTTACCTGAAGAAGTGTGCACAATGCGGATCAGAGCTACATCATGACATGCACGGTGTAGGAACCCAACTTTAATCGAAATATAAAATTTTAAATCAATTACTGCATACATAGAGGATATCATATTTGCATCTCCACTGCTTTTAAATTTTAAGCAAGCAACGGAGCCAGTGCAAAAAAGGAGTGCTTGCACAGCAATGACGTATAGTTTTTTTTGTGGCAAAATTAGAGGGCACAGACATTCCAGTTTGCATGTATATTTATCTAATTGAAAAAAGAAGAAGCTTTTTTTTACCACCTTGAATAATACACTTTGTCCTTTTGACCCTGTAGCAGACAAAACTGGGCCTAATTACTTCCAAAGGTCGAGTTTTGAATTCAAATTTTATGGGTGCAGCAGAGTACATAATGTCCTTTATGATTCGTCAGCTTGGAAATACATGATTTGGAGGGAGGATAGATGAAAGAGCTAAGCCAAAGATAGAGATGGATTGGGCCACTGAAGCTGTCCTCACGCACGTGCATACTAGCGGGCATTGGGCAGCAACAGGAAATTTCCCATGCTGGTAATAAAAAGCTAGACGTACGTTTTGAACACAATGTGCTGTAAAGAAAAGCGGCTATCTAGCACAGACATGCATGTATGTTGTTCGCAATTTACCGGCACTTGGCCGTGAAAGTTCCATGCCATGGCATGGCCAAAAACCAGATTGACATCTGAGTGGTCAGTTGGTCACTGATGAATTTATCGATCAATATATTTTGATACACTTATTTGAAGATATAAATATTATTAATATTTTCAATAAATATAATCAAACTTAAGAAAGATTGACTTAAACGAAAATCTAAACTGACACTTGAAAAGAGACGGAGGAAGCACATCTGGAGCCTTCAGCAAAAATCTGGTGAAGATGATGATGAGGCGACTTTTGGTACATCGAATGAGCCATTCATCCTCCTTAGTCTAGGGTGTGCACGGAACGGGAGGCCAGCTCAACAAGCTGGATGTGGATGGTACTAGCCCAGTCTCTCTCCTCTGCCTGCCTTTGCCACTCCCGCCTCTTGCACAAGTGAAACTACTTGATCATTGGTGTACAGTTGTAGCCTAACTGAAGCTGTGAAAGTATTTTTTGTTCAGAAAATCAAATATAATTAAGGAACCTTATTCTACTGGACATTTGATAATTCATAATTGTAGATACTATGATGTTTTAGCTGATCTATGATGTTTTAGCTGATCCATAATCTTAATTGTTGTGGAAGAGGTGCTCCTACATTTGAAGAGAGCATGTTGTGATTAAAACAGCTTTTTTCTTAATCACTTGATCCTTTGTCATGATTAAGACTTCATTGCTATTGCCCATTGATTGATTCTTTGTTTTCAGAATGTCTTACAACAGCCAGATGCAAATAGAAACTTCTGACACTTTAGTTCTCTCATCTTGTATAGAGGAAACACACTGAATATTTGAACTATCATTATAGGGTGCATTATTAGCTCTCTAAAATGGAGAATAAGTATTTGAGATTTGTCAAACAAACCAAATTATAGCAAGATCAGTTTTCAAGTGACAGAACAGTCTCGCTTGTGCATAAATCTCAATGTCATTCCTGAATCAAAGCGTTTCAAAAAGAGGCAAAAAAAAATCTCAGTGCCTGAATAAGTATCCTGAGCTACATGCCTACCCATCTGTTTCCAGCACATGTGAATTTTAGAATTTGGCACATAAAACACCCACTAAGACTTGCCTAAGGTAAGTATTTTGGAATGGAGAGAGCACATCAGTTACAGATCATTGACAATTTACATTCGACTGCTATGATCGACATTCAAGTATTCTATTTCTGTAACACCATTGCAAGATCAGGACACTATCATCAAGTACTCCCAAGCCCCAACATCGAACAAAATGAGGTTTGCAAGAGTCAGTAATTGTGACAGTGATCCAATAGCAGAGAAATTTGGACCCGACAAAACTTGCTATTTTCCATCACTATCACATTTCAACAAAAGTGAGGTTTGCTACAAGTTTGAATAGATGCAGATTGCACACTGGCATAACTGCTAGCAGCTGGGCACACTGTCAGACAAAACAATAGTAGTAGCACTGCAACTCATTCCTAGCAAGATCTATACAGCAGCAGGGATCACGACCTATACTTGCACATATTCAGGGAATAACTCAAAGAATCACAAGCAACATTTCGGAAGCCCTTTCCAGTTTTAAGATTAACCAAAAATTTCCATGCCATATACATAGTAATGTCAAAAGGAAAGAAGAAAACAATTCAACTTCCAAAATACTGATTTTGGACAACAGCTTCAGCTAGAAAGCCCTAAAACATAAGTGTTCAAAGCAAAGCATAGCTATAGAGGATGCCATCAGATTTTTGACATTCATACTTTAGAAAAATACTGAACTTAAGCCGCAGAAGACAAGTCTCAGAGTGGACTATGCCTACTCCCAGCCTTGGGCAGTCGGCTGAGGTGCTTGATCCCAACCAGTAGGAGCAATCACTGGAGGTACAGTACCGTCCACAGGTACAGGGGCCCCAGCTTGATCCCAGCCATCACCTGTTGGAACCGGAGCTGCAACAGAAAATGGGAATTGTCATGTTAGGAGAACAGTAACTCGGTACAGAGTAAAACAATCAGGGTTACAGTTTTCATGTGAACACAACATGCATGGATGAAGAAGTCTGATACCAAAGATGAGGAAATTCTAAAAAAAGCAGGTAACAGTATATACCTGGAGCAGCACCCCAATCAGCACCAATAGGAGCAACAGGCGGCACAGGCACATCAGAGGTCCACTGGTCACCACCCCACTGATCAGCTCCTTGGTAATCAGTGATTGCGGCAAACTCAGGGGCCACGGCAGCTTCCCCCTCCTGTTCCTTTGCTTCCTCTGGGTCTCTGTAGAAGAACAGATCAACCTGCAAACAACATTATCATATAAGAATGGCAGAATGCAAAGGTTACCAAAAAATGTGGACCCATTACATCTCCAATGTCATTTTGAACAGCATCATAAGCTAGCATACCATGACTTCCCACTTGTGCCCAGGGAGGATAGTGCCCCTCATCTGCAGAACCATCCTGGCCAAAAGCCAGAACAGACATCCAATGCTGTTCCTCCCTTGTTGTTCGCTGGGATGCCGATATCGACATAACGCATGGGAGAGTCAGTGTCACAGAAGGCAATGGTCGGATGTTCCCCAGAGCAGACTCCTTGATTGGCTGCAAACAATTACTAGCATAACAATTAGTTCACCATCACATTGCAGGGTCCACTCATTAAATATTTCAGAACTTTGAAACTGAAATTCTTTTCACCTGATGGTCAGTCCTTGGGTCAGTAAGGATAAGCAGGCGAGGCTCGCTGAAGGAGGTCTGGAGCTGATTAGTGAAGGTACCAGGGGTGTGCCTCCCAGCGATGGCATGAGCGCCAGTGTACTGAGCGAACTTGAGGACAGCACGCTGGCCATAGGGGCGGGCGGACTGGACAATTATGTCCTGAGGGTTCTCGATGGCAACGATAACCCTCGCTGCAAGCTGGAGTTTCTCCCATGTCTTGCCAAGGTTGATGATGTAGATGCCTGATAAAAACAGTAGCCGGAATGCAACACACCCAACAATTCATCTTGAAGACGAAGCGCTATTAAGCTGGCTACAGCGCGCCACAGATCACAGCTAATTACTAGATCCCCACAAAAGCCTCATGCCGCCGTAGCACTAGCCTTACGCAAGTTGAATGACTAAGAACTTCTATCTTTGATTATTACCGCGAAAAATCTAAAGCTCATAGTACACTACAAATACGACGACACAAGTTCACAGCATAACTACGCTGGATATTCACGCCCGGAACTGTAGCACTGGAGCACCAGAGGTTTCTTTGCTGTCTACATCTACATGGATTGGCATGCGGAGGAAAAAAAGGCACGGATGCGGGAGTGAAGGCACATACCGTCGGTGCGGCGCTTAAAGACATAGCGCTCCATCTGGAAATCGCAGTTCTTGGTGCCGAGGTGGACGTCGGCGGCGAGCATCATCTGTATGTCCTGCTCCTTCTGGGACAGCGCACGCACTGCGCCTCCGCCTGCTGCCGCCGCCATGGTTGACGGGGATGCGAGTGATTGGGGCTGGCAGAGCGAAGGGAAGGGGAAGAGAGGGATCGCCGGATCGGGGTATGTATTTAGGGGATCTCTTATCTGCGACGCGTCAAAAACCCTAGGAAAGCTTCTGCAAAGACGTGTTGGGCCGTGGCAAAATATGGGCTTCGCATTACTCCGTAGTATATTTTGGTCCATAGCAAATATGTCCGTGTGTTGCCACTAAAAAAAACTATTATGATGAAAAATAGTGACGGAAATAGTAAGTATCTATTTATGTTTTACATATTATATAATATTTAGAATCTATAATATATTTTATTTATGATGACTGACATTCGTACTGTGAGTTAATGTTGACAATAATATAATATTGTTCTATTAAAACCAAAAAAAGGATGAAAACCAAAAAGAAGATCTTTGTGATCTAGGCCTTGTTCACTTTACAAATTTTTTCAACCCGATGAATAGTACTATTTTCGTCTTATTTGGCAAATATTGTCCAATCGTGAACCAACTAGGCTCAAAAGATTCATCTCGTGATTTCCAACTAAACTGTGTAATTAGTTATTTTTTTTACCTACATTTAATACTCTATGCAAACGGCTGAAAATTGATGTGATGGAAAGATAGTGAAAAAACTTGAAATTTGGATGGCATCTAAACAAGGCCCTGTGTGCAAAAACACAACGGACGAACAATTAATTCGGTATTCGCCATCGAGTCCTTACTGGAACATCTTTTGCTATGGTTGATAGCGAGTTAACCTGGATCTACCACTTATAGGCCGGTTCCGATCTCATAGGCCAGTTCCAGATGAGCAAACAATTCAATTTCAATCATGTCGTGTCTTAGAGTCTTGAGTCATCTAATTACAAACAGCCGCACTGAGATCAACCGCCATCATCTCCTGAAGAAGAAGCGCTTGAAGTGGAAGCTGAGACGCAGGACGCCCCTCTCGAAGGTGTTCCTGAACCTCACCTTCCGCGCGCGCTCCAACGCTCTTGATCCTGAACGCGACGTCCTCATACAGCCACTCCGCGTGGAAACCTGACGTCTGACGATGCAGGTCTAGTCGCTCGCGCTGCCGTCCTCCTCAGGGGTGTACTCCGGAGGCATCGCCCCGGCGAGGTCTGGGCAGTGGAGCACAACGTGTAACCCTTCGTGATCTTGGGCTGCGGGTGGCATTTTTGTTGGTGGGTAAGAAACTCAAGTCATGGGTAACACCACGGAAAACATACGTACGAAACTCGGCCTTGGGTATATTCGTACAAGGGTACAATTCTTTCATCTTAACACGATAGAAAACACATGTACGGAACTCGGCCTCTAGTAATCGTACAAAGGTAAAACGGACCGTATTTGATAAAGGTAAAACGGACCGTATTTGTTTAGGAATTTGAGGAAGAGGAGAAATTTGAATTTGTCTAGGACTTCGGATTGTACGTGACCTATAAGATGTTACGTGACGTGACTTTTCGCAAACGGAGTGTATTTATTTAGGATTTTGAGATGGTACGTCACGGACTTTGTGCAAACGACTGTAGACTATTTGTTTAGGACTATGAGTTGTAACTTACAAACTGAACAAAAACGTGATCAGATCTAGGACCGAGCCAAAGAAACTCTGCTGCCGTATGGGACCTGGAGTTCCTGATAAATACACGCATCGAGGTGGGGGAGTTCGGCCCCGATAGCCTGTCTAAGTCTTACTTTTTCAACAAATAAATAGTATTTTCTTCTCACAACAAATTAGTCAATAGTACTTTTAGTCATGGCTTATCAGCCCAACGAATGTCGATAAAAAATATTCGGCAGTCCTTCGAAGGGTATCCCACGAAGGTAGATTGATCGGTGGAGGTGCGCGTAATCAGAAACTAGACGGTGACACAAGACGCAGAGATAGCGATTTAGACAGGTTCGGGCCATCTGATCGACGTAATACCCTACACGCTGTGTCTTTGGTGTATTGTATTGAGATGTAGTGTATGTAGATCTGACGACTAGGGGACCTCTGTCTGTCCTTAGTCTGTCATGCACACCTTGATCTTGTGGGCTAGGCCACCTTTGATGGTGCGGCCCATGTCTTGTCTTTTGGATATCGGGGGCCATACCCACACAGCTAGTCTCCGAGCCTGACAGTAGGTGACGTGGTCATATGGTGTTAGGGTCAGAAAGTAGAAGAAAGACAGAAGACCGGCCGAGTGGGCAACCAGTCCACGGACGGAGCCCCGAATCGAAAAGCGCACATTCACCACAAGGTAAAGTGTGCCCACTTAGTCCCCGAGCCTGCTGGAAGATGAAGAATGAATCTTGTAGCAGGGTCAAAGAAAAAGAAGTCTGAAAGCTTGCCGACGTCGTCTGACATGCGCGTATCAAGACCCCAGATGTGCTGCCCAAGATCAGCACTCTAATCCGAACAGCATGGAGCAGTTTGAAAGCACACCGATGAGACGTAGTAAGATCCGATATCCGCAAGGTGAAGTGGGGTGAAGTGTGCCCACTTAGTCCCCCGAGCACGAAGAATCCGAACGCCGAGGAGTTCCTGGCGTAGCTGGCGATGTCCAAGCACCGAGGTGCCCCCGACGTAGCTGGCGATGAAGCACGAGCGACGAACAGTCCGGTCAACTAGTCGGCGGCGAAGTGAGCATTGAGTAGAAGCGACCGGTGAATAGTCCAATCAACTGGTCGGCGACGAAGTCCATGAATCTAGCGGTCCGACCAATTGATCGGTGGAGAAGTCCGAGCACCAAGTGGTCCGATCACCTGGACGACAATCCTGTAATACAAATATGTAGAACGGGTAGTACATGATGTAAAAATATATGAGCTCTGGAGAAAAATCAGCAATGACGATGAAATAGCGTATGCAGCTCGACGATCAGTTGGTGTGAACACTTAGCGTTATTCTGAAGATGTATTTATATTTAATACAAACCGTCCGACCAGCTAGTGTGTAGCTGAGTCTCTAGCCCTAGCTTGCCCGTTAACCATAACGCGGAGCGCGGAGCCCGTGTGCGTGTACGAAGAACAAACCATCGCTAAGGAGCCGCTGTCGACCACCCATAACACAGAGGGTAGATGCTCGTGCACGTGTAGGGAGGAGCCGGAGACAGGACCGTCTCTGGGGACATCCAAGCATCAACATGACTGTTCGGGGAGGTCAGAAAATTGTTTTGAGAGTAAATATGGAGGAAACAGCTCGGAGAAACATTATGGCGATATACGAAGATTAGAGAATATTTAGAGAAATATTAAAGCGTGACTTAGCTTTAGACAGAATGTCTGGTCGGCGGTGTATGGCGTTATCTGGTCGACGTTGACGAAATTGCCCGGCGCTCGAGCTTTCTAAACTGTCATCATGGCGGCGATCGCGGTTGTAACGGCGTCGTTCTTCACGGCGATCATCGTTGCGACGCGGCAGGTGGTCGGAGTAAGTAGTCCGAGCGACGTCGTCCTTATATTTCTGATCGGCCTTAGGCACATCAGATTCGAGAAGATCATTGACTGGTAGGAGAAACGATGTTGTATGGCAGAGGAGATGAGACGTGGCCGAGTAGACATGCCAGCCTTTGTTCGCTATAGGGATGGGCATGCTGTAGATGTACGGCTCCAAGACTTGCTGTAGTATTAGCATACTTGATGGATGCGTACGCACACAATGTGCAAGTGCCTTAGCTAATTTCTGTATAGTTGGCTTCCATGTACATACGCCTTCCTTATTTGCTTAGGTGATGGAAACAACCAATGATCCGACTCGGATCCAACTCGAGCCTTCCCGTCAACCGGTAAACCATCGTAGGAATTTGCTAACTCGTACGTGAACCGGAGTCAGAGTCGAATTCGATTAAATGGCAAAGTGTCGACCAATCTTGTAGATGCGTATGTCCTCTAGTTTGCTTGTTGGTTGATTGAAGCACACAGCAGATTCTCGTTGGGCGTTAGAAGCTTGTACTGTCTGACTTGAGATGTTCGCTAGCCTGTATAAGCTGTTGAAGCACGCCACCGGAGGAAGTCAGGTTGCTACGAGCGGCGTCGATCTTGAGATCCCATCTGGTTCACCATGGATTAGCGCGCACACCCCTACCTAGCGCGTCAACTGTCGACAAAAGATGCTCGACAGTTCTCCGAGGGGTATCCCACGAAGGTAGATTGATCGGTGAAGGTGCGCGTAATCAAGAACCGGATGGTGACACAAGGCGCAGAGACAACGATTTAGACAGGTTCGGGTCGTCTGATCGATGTAATACCCTACGTCCTGTGCATTTGGTGTATTGTATTGAGATGTAGTGTATGTAGATCTGACGACTAGGGGACCCCTGCCTCTCCTTATATACTCTGGAGGGGTAGGGTTACAAGGAAAGTATCCTATTTGGTACTATACAATATCTTGCGATGCACATCGATCAGTGCCGTGCACACCTTGATCTTATGGGCTGGACCACCTCTGATGGTGCGGCACATGTCTTGTCTTGTGGATACCGGGGGTCATACCCCCACAGCGAACGAGGCCTTCGACTCCGAGAAGAGATGCAGTAAGTTTGACTCGGAGGGAAAATAACTTTTAAGTTTGAAAGAGGAAATCAAGTGCTTTGGAATCGGACTCCGTATCACGCTAGAGAAGACCTATTCTAATTTGTATGAGCACATGCCATTATATATAAGTCTGGACAAAAGAAACTCTCCATTGTCCGGTAGTTAGAGAGAGACAAAAAAAATAGACGACAAAAAAATTAGGCTGAAGTTTTGCCTCTTTATTATTAGGTATAGATGCATAGGCAGCATGTGCCACCAATTGGTGATTTACCCATTTATAAACTTGGCGTCTAAGTAATAACACCATAGGTCTTCGACTCCCCATGGAAATGAGTTTTCCATGATTCAACGGCGTTGTGCGATTTACCCATTTATAAACTTGACGCCTAAGTAATAACACCATAGGTCTTTGACTCCCCATGGAAATGAGTTTTCCATGATTCAACGGCGTTATGCTTTAAGTGATAGGTGACGTTATTATTTATTGGGGCTCCCTCACGAACGAATCAGGGCCAGTTTGGAACGAATGAATGCAAAATAGAGGAAAGAAAAAAAAAAGTACAGGAATAGATTTGGAGTGTTGTTAGGAAACAGACGAATGAAAAAACGCATGAAGATGTAGAGACGTTTGGAACACAGGACTTTATACCACTGGATTTCCAAAATATAAGGCGTGATTAAAAAGATGAACATTTGTTTTGTTATTTCTAATATTTATGATGACAACGCTAAATTTTAATTATAGTACATAAACATACGTGATTATTACTTTGACATGAGATATGACTAAGAGAAAATAGTAACTGACGTGCATGATTATGATTATTAAAAGGAAAAAGAATCGTAACTGACGCATCATCCTCCCAAACTTTCCTCTTTCCTCGCCTCCTTCGCTCCTCGGCTGCTTTCTTCTCCATCGCAGGCGTCATCCTCCGTCCCCTCATCGATCAGCGCCAGACATCATCTCCTCTGAATCCAATTCTCCAATCGGTGCGCAGAGATCTGATCAATTTAAGGGAGCAGAAGGCCTGGAGGTCACCACGCCCGAGCCTTCTACGGCAAACGCGATTTGTTTATTTAAGATTGATTGTGCGCTTGGCTTGGCGGTGTAATGCCATGGCGCCATGGCGGCTGCGCACCAGTGCACCACCGCGGTGCAGTTCAACCGTCGAAGCCTGCACTTTCTCTCTCCGCGAGCGAGCGACGACGGAGATTTGCCTCGGACCTCCGCGAAAACACGAGCTAGAACCTTATTTCCTGCGTTTCAGTGAGCGAAACCAATCCTTTCCTCTGGAACAGCAGTCTGCTTTCCTCCCTTCCAAACAGTAGATGACGTCAGCATAGAAATCGATTTCCTTGCAAATTCCTGCAGAAAGCCTCCGTTTCAAACGGGGCCTCAAACTCCTTATTGGTGTTGATGCCCCTAGCGTCTTTTTTTTTCCCCAGTTGCCACCTAGAGGTTCGTGGAAATTTGACGTGTTTTTTTTTGTCGAGGCTCAGCTCGTGGACGACCGATACTCCTTACTGATGTTGTTGCCCCTAACGCCTATTTTTTTGTCGGAGCTCCCTGTTACCGCCTAGAGGTTCATGAAAATTGGATCTCCAACCACAATTTTCATATGTGAGAATAGTGGGAGATATGTAAGGGAGTTTTTGTTTTGGAGGTTGTGGCTCTCGGTTATGGTGTCGGGATGGCTAGCCACGGTGCGACTGGCACTGACGAGATAGTGGGAGATAAGCAATGAGAATAGTGAGATGTAAGACAATGAAAATTCTGTTTTGAAGGTTTTAGAAACCTAGGTTGCTGAGATGGTTGGGTCACATCAAGCTATGGCAGTTCGGTGTATATGTTTTTTGGAACCAATAAAATGAAGTGTTGGTGGAGCGTGTTTTTTCATACATAATAATTTAGGCCTTGTTTGAATATCCATATATCCATCTTAATCCATGTGTCTATAGATTGAGGGGTATATATGGACATCAAACAAGGTCTTATTAAAGGCCTTGTTTGCTTCGCTGAAAAAACAAGCCAAAATATTGTTTCCGGCTGATTTTTTGTAAGAGAAAAACATTGTTCCTGCTGAAAAAAATAAGCTGAAAAAGACGAATTATAAGAGAAACGAACATGGCCAAAAGGTTGCAAAACCAGATTTTTGGATTCTCTAGTTTGGTTTTGAGGCTAATGAGTTGAGAAGAGCAGTGTGCTCATTTGTTTTTGGTAAGATGTTGAAGTGAATTGGTTTTGGTCCCATAATGGACTCAAAGGCCTTAAATTGTGTTGCAACAAGTGGCGTGGTGCTGGTGTGAACCAAATCTAGTAGTCAACTTCCCATTACCATGATCCGTTTGACTATCCTATCCCCATTGATTCCATCCCCAAATCTGTCTGTTATCTATTTAGAGTTATTTAGGACTTATTTATTTTTATTTCTATTGTTTTATTGCTCGTAGTCTTATTATCTATTTAAAACAAATAATATCCAAATAACTCTAAATAAAACAGTAACACGTAGAAAATTGGTACTAGTTTTATATTTTTATAATTTAAAATAAATTAGTATGGATTTTTAGAGATCAAATCATATTCAGATTTGCTAATTCATATCCGGTTGTTTGTTTTGTGTCCAGCTAGCAACCGGTTTTTTTACCGTAGGATTCGAACGGTCGCTTCCTCCTGCCGCCCGATTAGTCTCCGTCTGCCGCACGATAGTAAGGTTCGTAACTTCGTTCCGCGTTTGTCGGCCGATCGCCCGAGGCCATCGTTCGCCCGCGCGGATGCCGGCGTCCCCGTCGACGTCGTGCGGATCGAGTGCCAGGACGGCAGGACCTTTCTTCCATTTGTAAATTCGTAAGTTTGTAAACAATTTAATGATATATGTGAATAATTTGATATATATTTCTTTAGTATCTGGCATCCATAGAAAAAATTTGTATTTTTTTTTAAAAATTTGGCATAAACTCCCCGTGTCCTAAATTATCTGTTGCTTTTGGCTTCCGTGCCGTAAGTTTAAGGTCCCGCTTATCAGGGCTTCTCCATCAGCTTCAGGAGCCGTTTGGAGCCGTTTTCTACCAAACGGGGTAAAGTGAAATAGCTTCACTAGTGAAGCTCCTAAAAACATGCTCTCACAATGATTTAGGGTAGGATGGAGAAAAAAAGTGGCTTCTCCCGGCTTCTTCTCCAGGCCCCTAAAAACATGCTCTCACAGGAAAGCCATTTTACCAAACGGTTTACCAAAACCGCTTCAACTCCACCGGTGAAACTATTCATGGAGCTGAAGCCAAAAAAAACATGGCTTCACTAGTGAAGTGAAGCCCTGCCCAACGGGGCCTAACTCGATTTGTAGAAAATACGTGCAATATTTGTATCTCCAAACAAATTTATTAAAAAACTAGATTCAAAGGTCTTTCCAAAGATACCAATTATTGTACTATAAATATTAATATTTTTTAATATATATTTTGTCAAAGTTGTTTATCGGGAAGTGAAAACGACAGATATTTTGGGACGAAGGGAGTATTTATCTGAGATCTTGTGTTATCCTCAAATTACATCACTCTGTCCAATAAATTACACTGAAAAAATCATTGTAAATATAGTAATAAGGTTGTGTAAATATGGCTATAAGACAGTGTAAGTATATGAAAAAGATCTGGTTGTTGAGAGGAGCTAAAATAACCGGTTGTTGGCTAGACAGATTAAGAATCATTTGTACCTCGTCATACGGCCTGTTCGTTGGTTGATTTCTAGGCTGATAAGCTCGACTGTTGTTAGTTTATTGTGAGAGAAAAATACTATTAGTTGGCTAATAAATCCTGACTAAAACCAACAAGCGAACAACCTGATAGTTTAGCGCTTAAAATCTTACAGTCGTATTGGTCAGAGATTTAGAAAATAAACTTTTAACTAATTTATTATGACTTTCATGTCAAAGGTCTCCTACCAAACGCATAAACAAAAAGAGCATCTACGAATACTCTTCTACTTGGTACGAGGAGTAGTATGTACAACAGTACAACCGAATTCACATATAAGGGCATGTTCGGCTTCTTCTTATTTCTTCTCTTTCCATTACCGTAAATCTTCCGATTGCTCTTCTTCCTTATGAATTTTCTAAAGTTTCTAATGACGAGTGCAACTTCTTCATCAGACCCTTCTTCTTCACTTAAGAAATCATCATTCACTTTCTTCTTCTTCTCTTGACTAGAAGATTTGCCTTTATAAGCTTGAGTTGCCTTTAGAGCTGCATTCTTATTGTATCCCATTACATTAGGAGTTTGATTGTGAGTATTGATTGCATCTTCATCTAGACACTCATGATGCTTGAGCTTTGAAAAAACTTCTTAGGGTGTCATCTCATCATAACCAGCCCTTTCCATGATCACGGACGTTAGCATGTTTTTCCTGATTCTATAGGTTCTCAGTATCTTTATAGCAACCTTGTTGTTATTCTATTCGATGCTTCCAAGAGCTCTTATGCGGTTAACCAATACCATAAGCCTATCGATTATATTGTTTTATTTTACAAGAACATAAATCTTTTCAATTCACTATGAAGTAACTTAATATTGGCGTTTCTCACACTCTTATCTCCTACCAAACGCAGAAGCAAAAAACTAACAGTGCGGCTCGGCATTTGCAAAGCTGGACCAGCATTTTGGTGACACGACTACACTAGCACGGACACGGTTCACCTTCCTCCAGTTGTGCTACTTCCTCACTTCAGTAGAGCAGGTTGGCTAAGGGAGAGAAGAAAAGCTGGTCATGCCACGGGCTGCGCAGCTGGAACGGGTCCTGCATCTGCGTCCAGTCCGCCACTCCGAGGTTGTTCGTCGGCACCTGAAGGGTGGGCAGGTCAGCGTGCCTCACCGCCGGGGCCGCCATGCTCGCTGCATGCACCAGGGACGACGACGTCGACGCCACCGTGACCGCCGTGGTGTCCGCGGCCTCCGTCTTGGCCTCCCTGGGCGCGGGCGCGGGCGCACCGTAGCTGTCGCCCGACGGCGCGGACGAGGACGAGGACGAGGACGAGGATGGGAACTGCAGGAAGCTGCTATCGTGGGCGTCGTCCGACGACACCGACAGGTAGTCGTCGCCGGCGGAGCCTGCGGCCTGGACCAGGGATGCTGCTCTGGCCTCGCTGCTGCGCCTCTGCATCTCCTCCATGGCAGAGGCCCTCTGCTCCAGCTCCTTCAGTGGGGTGGCCTTCCTGTAGATCTTGCAGAGCACCATGTCCTCCTGCAGAAGCACACGACGACCGTCAGGCATTTGTGTCAATCCGTCTACCCTCTGCCGTGACTGCATGAAGAATTTCCATGCAATTTAATGAAAAAAGCTAGTCAACTCCTAAGTCAAGCACGTCAATTCTCACGTCTACTCTTGCGTTCATGGATGTATACATCACTGTTACCAAAACTGACCAACATATATAAATGAGAGAAGATATCACGAACAAGAACCCGATCAGCAATTTGCCTCCCCCGGTTAATGTTAAAACCGCACACCGATTTGGCAATATACAGTTAAATACGTACTGTAATAATCAGTAAACGTTTCACGCTAGCTTGTGACTTATATGCGCGATGTTCGTTTGGCTTATAATCCGTACTTTTTCAACGAACAAATAATATTTTTCTCTCACACTAAATCAGTCAACGATATTTTCAGTCATGGCTTATCGGCAACCGTTAATGATTTTGGTGTCAGCTGAGTTCTAGGACAGCGAAACTCATAGGCAAGAACTGCAACAGAGTGGACGATTGCTGGATTACCTTGGGAGGCGGCGGCGCGGCGCGGCCGGCGGCGGCGTGGTCGGGGAGGCGGTACTCGTTCATGACCCAGTCCGTCTTGGTGCCACGCGGGGCGCGCCCCTGGTAGAAGACGAGCGTCTTCTTGAGCCCGATCACCCGCTTGGCGTCGGCTGAGCTCCGGATGGCCCGGTCCGACCCCGTGGCCTTCCAGAACCCGCGCTCCGTCGTCCGGTTCGGCCGCCCGCCGCTGCCGGCCTTGCGGTCGCGCGGCACGAAGAAGTACCACTCCCGCTCCCCGATCTTCGCCATCGCTGCAAAACCATGCGTCTCCATAGATCAGCCACAGCGCTCGATCGCTCGTCTCAACAAGAACACACACACAAGCTGTTTGCTAGATGATGGCGCCATGGCGGACGTATCGACGACGTACCAGGAAGGTCCCAGGGGTCGTGGCGGTAGATGTTGAGGGTGCCGATGATGTCGAAGTGGAGCTGCTTGCCGTGGACGACGCGGGAGAGGTAGAAGCCGAGGAGTTCCTCCTCGGTAGGGTGGAACCGGAAGCCCGGGAGGTCCTGCTCCACCTCCATGGACGGCGCCCCGGCCATCATTGCCATCGGTATGGTGCTCGTTCGACGATCTGCTCTCGTGAATCTTCTTCTCGGACGCTCGGTTGCTCTGCTCTGCTCTGCTTGCTTGCTGCACTGGTCACTGGAGCACGATCGGTGAAGAGGGCGTGGTGGTGTTTCTCGGGCTCGCTCGCTTATATAGACTGTACAAGTGTGTGGGTTCAAGTCACGCGGTTTCTAGGAGACCAGCAGTCACACTTCCGTATAGTATAACAACGCTGAAAAGGACAAGTACTTGCTTGAGATGAGATGAGTGGGCCCTTCGGCCCGGCGGCTCAACAACAATAAAAATTTCAGTGTATTTTGCAGACAGTTATTTTTTTTATTTCATTTGGAGTGTGTATTTGGACTCTGGAGACTAGCTAAGTCACACATTTTGACCCTTTTCTATACATCTAAAAAAGAGGTAACCTTCTGGTTGTGTTTGAATAATGGCAGTGACTGTCCAACTTCGAACACCTAATGGTCGAATGCTGTATTAGAAGGTTCTATTACTCTTTTAAGACGAATTCCATTTTCATGATCCATGGGGATCCATCAGATTCATCAATTAAGAGGAACTCAAGCACTAAATATAACCATCCATGTGTCCTATGGCCCCATTCGTTTCGCTGAAAAAACAAGTCGAAACACTGTTCCGGCTGATTTGTTGTGAGAGAAAAACATTATTTCGGCTGAAAAAATAAGCTGAAAAGTACGGATTATAAAACCAGCGAACATGACATATATATATTCTATGGTTTGCCCATTAGCGGTTCAGGACTACCGAAAAGCACTGAAGCCCATTACTTGTTAATGCTGTATTAGAAGATGACTTCTTGCATAGCAGTTATAGCTTTAATGTCTAGCTGTTTTAAACAAAAAACGGGCTTGGTTCATTGACGAGTAAAACGATTTAGTTTGTGGTTCACGGATGTATTTTCCACCCCTAGGTTAGTAAGCATTTCCTCTCTATCTTTTGCTTGCTAAGGTTGTGCTGGTTTTTTTCTAGGTTCGAAAATGGAGTTGTTATTGGATTGTCGGTCAATCAGCATATTTAAAAAGGAAGATTGTGCTTTCACTGCTATGAAAATACCTATCACTGTTCGTTCTAAACTGGCGGTAATACTTCCAAAAATAAAGTAAAATGTGTGTTTCTTCGGATTCCAACCAATGACTCAGGCCTCAAGCATATCATCTCAGGTACATAATAACTTGTGACTATATAGCTGATACTAAACTACAAAGTTATAGATCGCATCGTGTACTACAACTTTGGTGTTGATTTTGTCTCCATCCGAGACTGTTTAATAGGTCTAAGAACTTATGTTGAATATTTGAGGTCTTGAATGAAAAGGTCTTTAACTAGTATAAAATTTTAGATCATGTTGAGCTCTACAACTTTGATATAAAGTTTGTCTTTATCCGACTTTATAAAATTCATGCAAACTAATGCCTTTTTCCTGTTGGTCATGTCTATAAACCGACAATGATATATCACTCTCACGGCCGATTGGTGACAATAGCTGGCAGTGAAAATCTAGGTTGTTGCCACGAATCGGCAACGATAGTGCTAGCGGCGATATGTGTTTGCTAAGATTATGCCATTGAACTTTGCATAGATGTGTCTTTCTCTTAAGACTATGTCCCTGAACTTTGCTAGCATTTTCTATTTATCGTTAGTATTTCGCTACTTGGTACCATTGCAAAATCGTGGCTCCCATAGGAAAATCTAGGGTGTTTTTTTTATGGATAAGTTATTTTGTCCTTGGGGTTTGCATGCGGTAGCATTTTTAGCTTGTCCAGACACTGTAGCTATAGCCTAGCTATTTCCAGTAAAGAAAATTCGATGACGCAATAGCCATTTTCAAATGAACAATTTTGGTGTATTTCAATAGCAAAATGCAAGTGCCTTGTATGGATGGACTACCCATGAAGAATTATATTCCTCCAGCTCTAGCTCGACAGGTAAAAGTCTCCATTATGACGGCTCATCAACCTGTAAAGTGACGAGAGTGATGAATTAAGCATGTATTGAAGGTTTTGGCTAGATTGCTAGCTAAAACACCGGGTGATTGCTTTGGTACTTCTCCCAGTAGGCACATGAATGTATGCAACATTTTCTGGTTGAATAAGCAATTGAATTCCACATTGTTCAGCGTCTCGAAACGTATGACTGGACTTACTTTAGAACTTTATCAGAAATCCACATCAACGGAATATTAGACTTAGTATAATCTCGTTCGATTGAGATGGCCACTATTTTCAATTTTGAAGATGTCGATGTCAAGTAGCTAGGTGTCACTACTTTGAATATAATGAGAAAGTGTTATGTGGATGCATGCTTCATTTGTTTTCCCTCTTTTGAGCTTCAAGTCTATATACGAAGCATTCTTTTACTGTGCTTGCAATATTATTTATTTTAAAGGCGGCGGTATATATAACCTTTTATTAATTTGGTTACTAAAACGTGGGCACGGGAGGAATTCTCGAACTACTGGTGTGATTCATTTACCCGTCTAGAAAAATATCTTCAACCATTGCCCTGTTCGTTTGGTTGATAAGCATGCTACCGAAAAGTATTGTTGGCTGATTTGTTGTGAAAGAAAAATATTGTTCGTTGTATTGAAAAAAAGTACGGTTTATAAGCAAAAGACACATGCTATTATTTTAGGCTCAAAGAGTGACTTGACGTGACTTGTTTTATCTCTTCACCATCAGGTATGGTCCTGGCTGGAGCTTAATCCGCCATGAGTATGAGTTGGACAGCGGTAGTTACCATTAAATTACTATCAGTCTTTCACCATATATATGACCATAATAATACCAATATATACATTTGTACTACTGCTGGTCTTATTGATATATTTCAATATATTTATATATCAATCCTAGTCCATATTAACCTACGATTTTGACGTCAAGAATACTATTCGCCGGGACGACCCAAAGCGGCCACACTGAGATTATATATGCTGAACAGGTAACCCAATTTGAATTTGAACTGTAACGAGCGGTGCACAGTACCTCTGGTTGGTTCTTGGGGTTTACCTATGACCGGACAGTCTTACTCTTACCACATCCAATGATCGATGTCAATCTTAAATTCGGGTGCCCTTTAAATGCAGGGAATTTGCGAAAACTTTACGGAGTTATACTGTTTCCTGGTTCAAAAGTCGAACTGGGCAAAAGTCTCTCCTTCACACTGTTGTTTCAGTGCTTGAATTTTCTACAGTGAAGTCAGAAGACTCAGAACAGAAAGTAAAAGTGTTCTTTTCATATACTCCCTGCTGCTCCGGCCAGTGCTCTCTCTCTCTCAGAGCAACCGCAATGTTTGCCATAAGGTAGTTCATAGGATTAAAATATTTGCTATTAGGTAGCTGGAATATTATGAGACCAGTTCATATGGTAGTCCATAGCAAAAGGTACCCATAAGTTTATGGGCTACCCATAAGAAATAAAAAATATTACTTTTTCTCACTCCTCCCTCTCTCTTTCTTGATTTTGCACAGGATTGTGAAGAGAGAATTTTATATCACATAAAGAGATATTTTTTTATCTCATATAGGACTCACCTTATGGACTACTGGTTGGCTAAAACATTGTGGAGACAACAATAGCTATAGCCCACTGACATAAAAGCTACCCATATGAACTACTTGGTCCATATACATTGCGGTTGCTCTAACCTTCTTTGCGGTGCAGTGAACGACTTCAGCCCGAAGAAAAGGGAAGAAAACTATTACTTACCATGCACTGCATACAGTCATTTACGTACGCTCCGATGAATGCGCAGTAAATACTAGGACTCTGAACCTTAGCGTTATCAGGTGTAAAATGCGGGTTGGGATAGATTTTGCGAAAACTTTACGGAGTTATACTGTTTCCTGGTTCAATTCACAAGCTGAATGGGTGCAAAACCTCGGCTAATTTACTGCTTCCCTCTGATTCTCCTCCCTTTCTTCCTGTATTTCTTTGTTTCCTGAACTAGCTTCAAGCAGAATGGTTCTCTTCTGCTTTTAGTTGTACAACTTCACTTTTTAATAAATCTGCAAGAGGGGCTTTAACCCCTCCTGTTTCTTTCCAAAAAAAACCGGGTAAACGTCTCTCCTTCACACTGTTGTTTCAATGCTTGAATTTTCAACAGTGAAGTCAGAATAGAAAGCAAAAGTCTCTTTTCGCACTTCTGCTCCAGTGTGTCTCCTTATTATCCTTCTTTGCCGTGCAGGTGCAGTGAACGACTTCAGCCCAATTGCCCCGAAGCAAATGGATGAGAAGTATGCATGCAGTCATTTGCGTACGGACTGATGAATGCACAGTGAATACTAGAACTCTGAATGACTGAACCTCTTTGGCACGGCTTATGTCGGTTTCGGTTTCATCTATTTTGCGCAAATCGATGTATTGTAGCGTGAAGCCGTTTTGTAAGCCGGGGTTAAAATGAACTAAAAGCCGAGAAAAGCTAGTTTTTCTGACTTCACCGACTTTGGCTTTACCGATAAAACCGTTTTAGATGAGCCGTGCCAAAGAGAGCTTTAGCGTTGCCAAGGGTCATAAGTTTGCTTAGTTGCTTGGAAATCCACATGCAGCTACCACCATGCACATTTTTATTCTCCAGAGTACGGTGGTTTGTCGTGCTAGCTACAAGTATATGCTAGGTGTGTGGGTGTGGCTGCGCCCACCTGGCCTTCTGGTCATCTTGACCGACTTTGAACGTGAGAGAGACCGCTCTGACGAACTGAAGAATCTCTGGATGTCCTCCTCCTCCTCCAAGCTCATTCGCGGGCTAAAAAAATAAACCGAAAAACTGTTCCAACTAATTTATTTTGAAAAAAAAACACTATGTCGAATAGGCCGCATCATGAATTGACGGACACCAAACCCCACCCGTCCATCCGGACTTCCAGTAGACAGTATGTGTCTGTGTGTGAACGCTAGCTTGGAGATCGACGACGACGTCTCAAGCAAAGTCAATGCCACATTCTTTCTTTCTTTTTTTTGGGGGGGTA